TTCTCCCTAAATAGTAGACACAGGTAATAAATAAGAGAATACTAAAGATCCGAGCCATAGAATTTCTCAATTCTGACACAAGGTACTTATTAGATCGAATAAGTGCATTCGATCTAATAGAATGATTTTGCCGTATCCAGACTAATACCAATCCAACCCATTTCATGAATAAAATGTGACCAATTAACCAACCAACAAAACTACTTGTTACAAATAACATCTTGTTGTTGCATCGAAACATATAAATGTTGACTAATCTGGCTAACATTGAACTTGGTAAAATGAAATGGTTGAATAATTGAAAAATGAGATTATTCAGGAATACACATTGAACGCTGAGATTACGCATTGAATTTCTGGTAGTAGATCCATAATCAAAAAAGTGTTTGTGATTGTTCCAGAAGAAATGAAACAAAAGATACGGTAGAGCTAGGACAGTTATTGTATGAGGTCTACCCAATGCTAGATGCAGAGGCGCATAATAGATCGATATGAACATCATGAGCTGTCCCGTAATAAAACCAGTTGTTGCTGATACCTTCTTCTCGGTTCCTTCTTCCATAATCTGAGCTCGGAGAAGGAAGAGATAAGAGGGCCCTATGGAGAATGTGGTCAGAAATCCATAATAGAGTCCGACCACAACGACCGAATTTATTATCTTCATACATAAGGGTACTAGATTACCTAGTAGAAAAGATTTAAAAATCATCACAAACCTCCCTTTTTCTTTTCTATTGCAATTTCTGGATTATTATATGATGATTTTTAAATCTTTTCTACTAGGTAATCTAGTACCCTTATGTATGAAGATAATAAATTCGGTCGTTGTGGTCGGACTCTATTATGGATTTCTGACCACATTCTCCATAGGGCCCTCTTATCTCTTCCTTCTCCGAGCTCAGATTATGGAAGAAGGAACCGAGAAGAAGGTATCAGCAACAACTGGTTTTATTACGGGACAGCTCATGATGTTCATATCGATCTATTATGCGCCTCTGCATCTAGCATTGGGTAGACCTCATACAATAACTGTCCTAGCTCTACCGTATCTTTTGTTTCATTTCTTCTGGAACAATCACAAACACTTTTTGATTATGGATCTACTACCAGAAATTCAATGCGTAATCTCAGCGTTCAATGTGTATTCCTGAATAATCTCATTTTTCAATTATTCAACCATTTCATTTTACCAAGTTCAATGTTAGCCAGATTAGTCAACATTTATATGTTTCGATGCAACAACAAGATGTTATTTGTAACAAGTAGTTTTGTTGGTTGGTTAATTGGTCACATTTTATTCATGAAATGGGTTGGATTGGTATTAGTCTGGATACGGCAAAATCATTCTATTAGATCGAATGCACTTATTCGATCTAATAAGTACCTTGTGTCAGAATTGAGAAATTCTATGGCTCGGATCTTTAGTATTCTCTTATTTATTACCTGTGTCTACTATTTAGGGAGAATACCGTCACCCATTCTTACTAAGAAACTGAAAGAAACCTCAAAAACGGAAGAAAGGGGGGAAAGTGCGGAAGAAACAGATGTAGAAATAGAAACAACTTCCGAAACGAAGGGGACTAAACAGGAATTAGAGGGATCCACTGAAGAAGATCCTTCTCCTTACCTTTTTCGGAAGAAAAGGAGGATCCGGACAAAATCGATGAAACGGAAGAGATCCGAGTGAATGGAAAGGAAAAAACAAAGGATGAATTTCACTTTCACTTTACAGAGCCATCCTATAACAAACAAGAACAAGTTTCTTCTTATCGGAATAGGAATCACGAAAATTCGAAATTAAAAATAAAAGATTTTTCTTAGAGATTCAAAAAATAACAAAGAGTAAATGAATAAAAAGATTGATACATAAGATAAATACAAGAAAAGATAAGAAGAGATGCGCCCGCCCCCTACAGATTTGATACCTTCTCCTACAAAGAAACTCATAACACCAACTCCATTTGTAATTCCATCAACTACTCGTCTATCAAAAAAATGAGTTAATTCAGCCAAGCCCCTTATTCCCCAGTTAAGGATCTTGCATAAAAAGCATCTATGTAACCACGATTATATGACCAGCTATATATGACATTTATTATTTTGTCCCAAAGAGTTCTCTTAGGACCTGTTTTAACAAATGAATTAATTAAGTCCAAATTTTGTAAAGATGAATAAAGAGGTTTATATAAAAAGGACGCTATAAATATTCCTAAATAAGC